GGTTAGCTGTTCTCCCGCAGTCCAGCGGGGTCTGGGCGGGTAGCTGTTGGCCCGCAGTCCAGCGGGGTCTGGGCGGGTAGCTGTTGGCCCGCAGTCCAGCGGGGTCTGGGCGGGTAGCTGTTGGCCCGCAGTCCAGGGGGTCTGGGCGGGTAGCTGTTGGCCCGCAGTCCAGCGGGGTCTGGGCGGGTAGCTGTTCTCCCGCAGTCCAGCGGGGTCTGGGCGGGTAGCTGTTGGCCCGCAGTCCAGCGGGGTCTGGGCGGGTAGCTGTTCGCCCGCGGTCCAGGGGGTCTGGGCGGGTAGCTGTTGGCCCGCAGTCCAGGGGGTCTGGGCGGTTAGCTGTTCGCCCGCAGTCCAGCGGGGTCTGAGCGGGTAGCTGTTCGCCCGCAGTCCAGGGGGTCTGGGCGGGTAGCTGTTCGCCTGCAGTCCAGCGGGGTCTGAGCGGGTAGCTGTTCGCCTGCAGTCCAGCAGGGTCTGGGCGGGTAGCTGTTCGCCCGCAGTCCAGCGGGGTCTGGGTGGTTAGCTATTCTCCCGCAGTCCAGCGGGGTCTGGGCGGGTAGCTGTTCACCCGCAGTCCAGGGGGTCTGGGCGGGTAGCTGTTCGCCTGCAGTCCAGCGGGGTCTGTGCGGGTAGCTGTTCGCCTGCGGTCCAGCGGGGTCTGTGCAGGTAGCTGTTCGCCTGCGGTCCAGCGGGGTCTGGGCGGGTAGCTGTTCGCCTGCGGTCCAGCGGGGTCTGAGCGGGTAGCTGTTCGCCTGCGGTCCAGCGGGGTCTGGGCGGGTAGCTGTTCGCCTGCGGTCCAGCGGGGTCTGAGCGGGTAGCTGTTCGCCTGCGGTCCAGCGGGGTCTGAGCGGGTAGCTGTTCGCCTGCGGTCCAGCGGGGTCTGAGCGGGTAGCTGTTCGCCTGCGGTCCAGCGGGGTCTGAGCGGGTAGCTGTTCGCCTGCGGTCCAGCGGGGTCTGAGCGGGTAGCTGTTCGCCTGCGGTCCAGCGGGGTCTGGGCGGGTAGCTGTTCGCCTGCAGTCCAGCAGGGTCTGGGCGGGTAGCTGTTCACCCGCAGTCCAGGGGGTCTGGGCGGGTAGCTGTTCACCCGCAGTCCAGGGGGTCTGGGCGGGTAGCTGTTCACCCGCAGTCCAGGGGGTCTGGGCGGGTAGCTGTTCGCCCGCGGTCCAGCGGGGTCTGGACGGTTTGCTGTTCGCCCGCGGTCCAGCGGGGTCTGGGTGGGTAGCTGTTGGCCCGCGGTCCAGCGGGGTCTGGGCGGGTAGCTGTTGGCCCGCGGTCCAGCGGGGTCTGGGCGGGTAGCTGTTGGCCCGCGGTCCAGAGGGGTCTGGGCGGGTAGCTGTTGGCCCGCAGTCCAGGGGGTCTGGGCGGGTAGCTGTTGGCCCGCAGTCCAGCGGGGTCTGGGCGGGTAGCTGTTGGCCCGCGGTCCAGCGGGGTCTGGGCGGGTAGCTGTTGGCCCGCAGTCCAGCGGGGTCTGGGCGGGTAGCTGTTGGCCCGCGGTCCAGAGGGGTCTGGGCGGTTAGCTGTTGGCCCGCAGTCCAGGGGGTCTGGGTGGTTAGCTGTTGGCCCGCAGTCCAGGGGGTCTGGACGGTTTGCTGTTCGCCCGCGGTCCAGCGGGGTCTGGGCGGGTAGCTGTTCGCCCGCGGTCCAGCGGGGTCTGGTCTTGGGCCAACGTGGGGCACTTTCGAGGTTTGGCCTCTAACAGGAGGCGTTTCGATCGAGATGCCGTCTCCACACTCAGAGCGTCCCTCCTCGTAGCATCCGCCGATCCATCCGTCACCTGTCTGTCAGCCGGGCAGAGTCCAGCTGGACTGGAGCGGAAACCGGTCCCCGTGTGGCACTGGACTGCGTGGTACTACGTGGCACTATGTGATACTATGGGCAGTCACTCCTGAGGGAGGGGGAGGATGGTCTGGTGTTTGCTTCTGGTTTTGACGGTTGCTGTTTTGGATCCGTTTCACAGACGGGGACATGGAGGCTCAGGGAGGTTAAGGAAGTCCTCTGGGGTGCGCTGCTGGCCCTGTCCCCAGGCGGGCTCACTGCATGGCCCGGGCTCCTTCCTCTCTGTCCCCACACTGAGCAGCAAGGGCAGCGTGTCACTTCCCTCTGACTTAACCCCGAGCCTGGCTCACACAGACGTGCCCGGAAACTTCTGTGGGTTTGACTGTTGACACCATTCAAGCTCCCGCAGACAGCAAGAAAGTCTACTTAAACGTGTGTGTGCGATGTAATTATTTTCTATATCGTGAGATTTTCCAATTTATAGCATATATGAATGTATAAACTATACATTTTATATATTAATATAAATTTATATAAACATATTTACATAAAATATATAAGTGCATATAAAAGTTCATATAAGTTTAAAATACATTATGTATTCATCATATTTACATTCTAAAATAGATATAAAATAGATAGCTAATATATATTTTGTATTTATGATTAGACTATATATACTTATGAGATTAATTACATGCTATATTAAGTATACTAATAGTATACAGAAATAAGCACATCTGATCGTAGCTGAAGAAGCACTCCCTGCACCTCCTCCGCCCCTCTGCCCTGGGACAGTTCTCATAACACCCGGCCTCCCACCTCCTTCCTTCAAGTTCCTCAGCCCCTCTGAGCACTGGGATCATAATCTCTCTGCCCGAGAAACGTGGCATCAGCAGGTACCCAAGGCCCCTGGGGCTAGTCAGCACCATCGTGGGCCTCGGACCTGGGGAGAGGAGAGGGTGATGCTGGTGGGGACAGAGGGGCAGGGAGCGCGGGGCAGCCCTCCGAGAGGCCACGGGGCAGCCCACACTGACCCTGGCCCAGACTGTGCCCAGGGAGGAGTGGGCGGGAGGGGCCCAGCCTTTAGGGGCCACTGGCAAACCAGGAGTGGTGATAAGCTGAGGTCTCAGCTGGGCGCTGAGGATGTTCGTGGGCGTTCACACAGGACAAAGCTGCAGTGTCATCGCCGAGCAGGGGCCGGGAGGGGTGCTGACAGCCCACAGAAGCCTGCGCTTATCTCGCCATCAGACCCAGAGCCTTGTTTGCTCAGAAGAGCCTGGAATTCCACCCGGCTGCCGGGCATTTCACTTGAAACCTAAGCTCCGGGAGTGAAAGGGGGGGGCGGCACACCCAGATTCCCCTCCGAGCGTGAACCTGGTGTTCCCGGGAACCAGCCGCGGGTGCCCATGGCTCGGCATCCCTGCGGCCTCCCCTAGGCTTGCTGCGTGCCTGGCGGGCACCAAGGGCCGGCCCACACCACCCCGTGCACGTCCCCAGTCCGCGTGGGGCTGTGTGTGGAAACCGGCCTGGAATGGGCACTTTGGTACTGCAAACGGCCGGCGTGGGGCCTCAGGTCCCAGCCTGCTCTTGGGGAGCAGCGGCCGGGGTGTGCGCGAGCCCTGATGAAACTCTTCCCAGCCCACCTGCAGGCTCTTCACAGTCACAGAAACGGTCCTGCGGCCCAGCCGGAGAGCCCGCTGCTGAGCACTTGCCGCACACCTTCACCGCGTGGCTTGGGGCAGGTCCCACCACCAGAGCGGGAGGGACGGAGAGGGACCTTGGAGGCTGCTCATGACTAAATGTCAACAGCTGTTGGTGGCACGAGATCAGCCTGCAGGCTTCACGCATGCTGCTTCCTCTGCAGGGAGGGGCGCCTCCTCCTGAGAGCCTTCCGGCCGCCCGCAGCTGCCCTCGCCTCCCTTCCCGCCCGGTGGACAATGTACACGCTCTGTGGGAGGGCGGCGCTTCCCTAGAGCCTCGTGGGCTTTGAAGCAGGATCTGTTGGTTTCCCTGCACCAAGGGGAGCAGCTGCGGGTGCCATGGAGGAGGCCCGAAGGCACGTGCAGGTCTGGTGGGGGTGCCCCTGCACTCCTGGGGCTCACACCCTTGGCAGACGCTACCGGGGCGCCGGGGTCACGCAGTCCAGGAGCACAGGGTCCCCTGGCATCATTTGCTTGCTGAAGGACTGAGGCCCAGAAAGGGCACTGTCTCTCCATCACCCTAACCCCATCTGCCTCATCGAGGAGAGTTCTCTCCGTGAGCCTGTGGGTGCCCTGCACAGGCGAGGGGTGCCAGCAGGGCCTGACCTGGAGACAGCCGGCCAGGCAGCCACAGGTTTGGGGAGAGTTGGGAATCCACTCTGCGAATCTGCAGGACCCCTGGGGCTGCTCCGCTTCCAGCTTGCCCCAGCTGAGCTCTGTCTGCACTCTGAGCCCCAGCGATCGGGCCTTTGCCTGGTCCCTACCCTGGTCCAGGCAGGACTCCCTGCCACCCCCAGCAGCGTCTGCTTCCTGTTTCCTCTCTGTCACTTGTCCTGCTTGCCCTGGCCAATCTCTGCTGCGCGGGCTGGACCCACTCCGAACCTCTGTCGCCCACCTCTTGTTCACCTGTTACCACAAGCACAGAATGAGCTCAGGTGTCCCCCTCCACAGAGGTGTCACCTCCACAGATGCCAGGGGTCTGTCCTGTGGGGAACCGGGACTTCTGTGCTTGGATAAGGGCATCCAGGACCCCACTGGAATTCTCAGCATGACAGGGGAGAGAATCACTCCTGCTCTGTTTCTTCCCAGGGCACAGTGGCAGGAGGGAAGGAACAGGTATCTGCTAGGCATCTACCCCATGCTAGGCCCTTTTCTGGCTCTCAAAGCCCCTGTCAGGGGGAGGTGGTAGGGGAGGGAACCTGGGCTGGGAGAGAGCAGGAGCTGGCGTTGCCCCAGAGCCTCTGACTCCAAAGGTCGCCACGTGGATTCCCACACAGTCCGAGCTGCACACGATGGAAAGGTTATCATGGGCTCACTGTCACGTGTCCCTGGAGGTGGAAGTGGAGCCCAGGGGTGACCGCTTGGAGAGAGATGCTGTGCAGGGGACTTAAGCATCTGGCTCAGAGTGGGATTTAATGAGGTCTAAGGCCCTTCTAGTTCTGTAGTTCCTCAAGAGAATCCGTTCCCAGATCTCTGTTACTACAGCCCTTGCTAACTTCCAAAACACCTCTGCTCTCTCCCCAGGTGTTGTGCGCCAAGTGCGGCCCATCGTAGGCCCCTCTCATGCTGTTCTGAAGCTGGAGATGAACTACGTGGTCAGGGGTGTGGTGTCCCACCGAAATATCGTCAACGTCCACATCTTTGTCTCTGAGTACTGGTTCTGAGGGCTGGTCCATGGTATAGCCAAGTCTGCACCTCCAGGCCAAGTCATTGCTGCCAACGACTATGCCCTGTCCCTGTCTGTACAACCCAGATATTTTTTGATCTTATGTATTTGTTTGTAGAGTTAGGCTGACATGTATTAAGCTGGGCCAGATGAATAAGTCCATCTGATATATTTTGGTGTTGAAATAATGAGTCCAATTACTCAACTGTTTGGTTGAAAACCTTGTTTATTTTTTTATGCAAATGTTGTATTTTGCTGCCTTTACGCTGCCTGTGGGATGGGCATCATGAAGAACCAAGGAAAGAAGACATTTTTCAGGGGGCAACTACTCATAATGCCAAGAAAAGACCAGTTTTGGCCCTGCTTGTATGAAATTTGACATTTGGTATTTTTTTTTTGCCAGTCAGATTTGTATGCCTAGTTCTAAAGACACAGCTGCTGTAGCCTAGCAGTATGGTAGGCTCTGCCCAGACCGGCATGACACAGTGCCTCCAGGAACAGCTGGAAGGCGCGTGGCCGTTTCGTTGTAACGGAAAGCCCCCGTTGGTAAAGACACGGCCCGTTCGGTTTGTGTGTGGCCCCAGTATGTTGACCGGGGGGTGGTGGGGTTTTCTCTGCTCCCTTGTGTCCATCTTCTCTTATCATAGGTGGGAAAATAAACAGCTCTGTGATTCTGATGGCCTGTCCATGGGAGTCTTTCAGAAAGGGGGCTCCCCACCAGCAAAGGGCCCGGGGATGTCCCCCAAGGCCTTCTTAAAGACCCTCCCATCTCCTGAGGTTCTGGGGTGGGGCCTGGTATGTGTGCCCACCCACACCATTTCTGGTACCATGCCTACCTCTGAGAAGCGTGGCTCAGGTGTACACTCCATGCCCACGTCCAGCCCTGCTGGGCAAGTCACGGGGCTCAAGCTCCTGACACGGCCCCTCTAGGCGTCGCTGGGGAGCAGTAACAATTCTCTTCAGCAGAAAGAAGCGACCACCAGTGTGCACTGAGCACCCCCTGCACTTGGCAGGTGGTACTTGTGTATTCCTCCCGGCACCCCAGAGAGGTGGGCACGATCATGCCCAAATCAGAGGTGAACCGATGGCTCAGAGAAAGGAACTCAGGTGCCTCAAGCCCCACACCCTTTCAGAGGTGACGAGGGGATTTAAATTCCGTTCACCAGACTACAAACTCCATTCCTCTCTGAGGCCTTATGTCAGATGGAAGGTGGACAGACTGGATGTATGGGGTGTCCCAACACCACCCTCAGCGTAGGGGGGGAGGTTGGGCCAGGAGCGCTCTGCCCCCCAGGCCCACTCGGACCTCAGGGATTCAGCATCCAGCCCTTTGTTCCCATACAAGCGTCTCGGAATCCTGCCTGGTCTCACCCCTCCTTCTCAGGGGTCCCGTTCGCAGCTCAGAGCCTCTCTCCTGTGCCCGACCTCTGTCAGCAGCCCGGACCCTGGCACTGGCTGAGATCTCGGCCCCCATGTGGGACTTCAGCCTCGTTGGGATTTCTGCCTGGTGGTCTGAATCCTTAAACCTGCACTGCCTCAACTCTGCCGAACGTGGTCTCTGACCACCTTTGGGAACTCGCAAGTGTTTCTGAGGTCACTCATTTGGGCCCTGGTCCATCAGCCAGGCCTGGGCCAGCCAGGCACAAGGCCTGCTGGGGCCTGAGGGGAAGGGAGGAACCAGTACGGCTGAACAGTCCCAGGAGCCAGTTCTGGGGACCAGCAGAGCCCGGGGGACATCAGAGCAGCTCTCAATGCCAGGGATTGGGTCCTGGCAGGGAAAGGGTGGGGGCCTAGGATCTGATCACGGAATGGAAGTCTTAGGATGAGGGGCAGGGAGGGGGGAGGCCACATGGGGTTCCAGTGTCCCACCTGCCTGCAGAGGCAAGTCTGGGGGCCAGGCCCTTGGAGAGGGAGTTTTCTGGAAGACTTCTTCCTGAGGCCTCAGTGGGGCAGGGTGGGAACACAGAAAAGGGCCCTTCCCATACTCAATAGATGTTAGCGTGAGAGCTGCCATTGGTGGGCAGAGCCATGGCTCCTCTGTGGATTGGCTCTCAGATGAGCACGTGATCCAGGCTGGCCAATCAGCCCTTCCTGAGGGCGGGCGCTGGGGCGTGGGAGCCGGCAGCGGGGAGGCTGAGCACAGGAGGGCTGCCCGGTGGGGAGTCGGAAGGGAAAGGGGGGCGCCGAGTCCCGGCCCGGCCTGATTCAGAGTCAGAGAGGCCAGGGGCACCCTCCCCTGGCAGGGCTGGCGGAGTGAGCCACTGCCGGCTGCCCATCCTCAGTTTGCGCGTCTGCAAAATGGAGCAGCAGCCCCCGGCCGCGCCTCCAGCCAGGACCCAAGGAGGTAAGGCCGCGATGCCCAGTGGCGTCGAGCCCTCACGTCGGTTCAGGTGGACAGACACCTGGAAATCATGTCGCATTTTTTTTTCTTTCCTAATAGCTTATTAGGAAAAATTTCCAACACCGCAAAGTTGAAAGAATTTGACGATAAATGCTTTTAAAAAAAAAAGGGTAGCCGTCCGGGGTATTCCGCTACGCAGTCCGAGCTGATTTACACACTGAAACAGAGGGGACCAAGCCAAGCGGTGACTGCACCACCAGTGTGGCAGCGGGTGTGAGCCCTGGCAGGGAGTGGGAGCCGGCAACGGGGCTCCAAGGGGCTTCCTGATCCCAGAGTCTCACGGACGTTCTTTCTTTGATCTAACCTAAATCCACCCCCTCACCCTCCTCTTGTCTCCCCTGCTACACCTTCCTCCAAACCAGGGTTGGCCAGACTTCTGCCCCAAACCAGGCCTGAAGCACTGGTCCCTCCCCAGGATCCTCTGTGCACCCAACCGATTGACCTCTCCCAGTGAAAGTCCTCCGGACCCAGGGTTGCCAAACCCCAGCAGCTCTGCCCCCTGACCTCTGACCTTCCACTTGACCCAAGGACCACTGTATCCTCTTCAAATTCTATGCTGCCAGATTGTGTTAATACCGCTGTTATCATCAGAAGCGGTAATGATGATGATAAGTGCTTGTGTGGCGGACACCCCTGTAACGACCATGTAGGTGGAAAACGGCGGGTGCATGCCCGAGCGGGGCTGCCCCCCGGTAGCGGGCACTCGGCCTGCGCCGCCAGGTGGGACTTAGAAATTAGACAGGAATGTTTTCCAGTCCGCGCGGTGGCGGCGACGCTCTTATCCCGCGCCTATCTTGACAACTTGATGGTTGCTGTTCCCCACCCAGCCTCCATAATTGCTTAATTAATTGCGTGCTGGTAACTCACCCGGAGAAGGCGGCTATTAGGCGCGGGAAGCCCGACGCCCACTCCGCTGGGCAGTGGCCAGGCTGGCCTGGAGGAGCCACCAACGCTCAGGGCTTCTGCGCTCAGTCTGGTCAGGGGAGCAGCTCAGCCTGAGAGCCCAGCCGGCCGGCTGCTGCCCACGTGCTCTGCGGGGGTCAAGTGCCAGGCCACTCCTTGGAACCAGGCCCTTGAGCCTGGAGAGTCAGGGTTCCCCTGGGGCTTCAGCCGTGCCCACTTTGGGTTTCAGAGACACTGCCCATCCCTGCCATTGTCCACAATTGTGTGTTCTCTCCAGGGTCCGATGCGCCCATGCCTGGCTGACACACACACCACCCCCGGCAGCCACGATGCTGGGAACCACTGCAGGCTCTCCGCCTTCGGGGTCAGACCATGGCTCAGAGGGCTGTTATCCAGAGCAGGTGTGCCCTGCATGGGCCCTGGCTCCACAGCGCCAAGTGCTTTGGGTATGGGGGGCGTGGGGAGGGTCAGGGCAAGGGTCCCTAAACCAGACTTGATTCTCTGCCTGAACCCCATCCCACCACCGTGACCACCACTGTTGGCCTCCGGCGCCTCAGCTGTCAGGCACAGCGCTCCGAGGGCCTCTCCCCACTCTGCTGCCCCATGTGCTGGAGGAACGAGAGTGGAGGGGGTCGGCCCCGGGGGGCTGTGAGAGGGGCAGTGGGGTCACCATGTCACACCACTGGCCTGCAGACCTTCATCTCCCTGCCTCTTGCTTTCTCTCTCCTTCTGCACAAAATGCAGGGTAAAGCCCAGGGCCTGTTTATGGACAGCTTGTGCCCCTCTGCCTGTGAACCTGGGTGACCTTAGGGTGCAAAAGCCCCATGTGGGGAAGCCTGGAGCCCCTCCAAGCACCCCTCTCCCCCCACACACCCCTACATGAACCTAGCATACTCTGGAACACTGGCTTTGGGTGAGACTATTAAGACTAGGAACAGGTTGAGTGGGTGGTGGGTCAGAGAGAGTGGTGGACACCCCCTATGGCACTGAGAAAGGGGCATGGCAGGGGTCACAGGGGCATGGTACTAGGCCAAGGGATAGGGAGTCACTAGGAGGATAGGACCCAGAAGCTATTGAATTATCACCAGAGCAAAGGTGGCCATCTAACATCCCTGCTTGCAGACCTTTTTGGGGTGGTAGCAAATTCTAGTGTCCGTGATGGGAAAGGTAAGCAGTTAGCAGAGCCAAACATAATGGTAGAACAACTTTGACCCTGACATTGTGTTAACTGCCCGAGACCCTGAGTCCCACGCCCAGGCCACCTGCCCCTTTTCTGCACCTTTACAGGTGAGTGATCCCAGTCAGTCTGCGGAGTAGCCAGTGAACTGGGATCATCCCTGGGATTCGGGTGCCTGTGCCTCATTTCTCGTGGGCTAAGTCGGAGAGATGCGGGAAGGAATTTGCAGATTCCCAGAAGGCACGCTCCTGGACCACCTTCCCTCTCTGCCCCACACTGCTGTGCACACGGGGGGCTTCGTTCTTGCTGTGGAGAGCAGAGCATGATGGGTTTGAGTCTGCACAACAGAACTCTTGCCACAGTGACTCCCTAGGTCAGCAGAGACCCCAGGTCAAAACTGCTTCTGCGCCTCAACCCTTCCTTCCAGCAGCATCGCCCGTTGCCCGGACACCTGAGCCCATCCGCCCCCACAGCCAGCTCATGGCAGAGAAAGGGTTGGCAAGGAGGTCCCCGGAGAACCCTGGCCTGTGCTGATGGTGGCTTACTGTTGATAATGTCAGTGTTTTTGGTGAACGGGAAGAAACCCTTTCCAGCATAATGAATCCAGTTGGGATTTTGGAGGACCGGGGCATTTTCTACATTCTAGACTTCTTCGGTTCCATGGGAGGAAAAAAAGGGGGGCTTTTTTTTTCCTGTGCCACAAAAATTTGGCAGCGAGTACTTACCTGGAGTAACATGAGGACGTTTATTAGGTCGGTCTGGGGCTTTCCTGCCGACCTCTCTGGGTATCGTATGGTGGGACACGGATGCCAGCCCCTCAGGGCCCAGGGCTTTGGGACCTTTGCAGCTACAGGTGAGGCCTGGCTTGGTGGGGCAGCGCCCGGGGGCCTCGGGCCTCGCATGTTCGGGGAGGCAGGTGGGCGCACCAGGAGAGTGCTGAGGAGCTCACGGGGGGGCCTTCCAGTGCGCACGGTCTTCGTGGCGACGGGGAAAGAAAAGGCCTTCCAACTGGACCAAGATGACTCTCTTTGGAGAAATACCACCAACTTGGCACATGCCACCTCAGCCAACCCTGGGAGGTTGATGTCCGATTACCACTTGACAGAGGACAGCCTGAGCCTCAGAAAGGAAGGGACTCGCCAGGGCAGGACGCAGTGGGGCTGCTTCTCGCTCTGGCCCCCCTGGGCTCTTCCCGC